GTCGATTACAGCGCCATCTATCATGAATCGAGAAAAATGTTTCAGACAAATTGTATGTGTTTATAGCCAAAGATTCCGAATATGCAATAAAAAATAGGGGTTCCCATTTACGATTTCAAACTTGCCCCCCCTCACCGCCCAGGTGGAGGGGTGGGGGGCTAATTTTAACGTCATTGTACGTCCCCCTCGAAATGACGAAATTTTGATTCTAAACATTTTTTCGTAGTGTGCTTATTTTTCGAGTTATTTGGCTGCCTAAGTTAAAATGGGTCACCCTGTATAGCACATGTATATATAGCACATGTTGACTTCTTAAATATATACGTTGTCTAAAAATTACATATCACTTATCAAACTTCTTTTGTTTATAACTTTTTAACAAATAATACGCGATGATTAAAACGAATATTACGAATATTAATCAAGGCGATGACCAGGGTGCAAAATATAGATTTAAATATGAACTTTGAGATGCTATGTGACAGAACTTGAAATTCAAAATGGCGGATCCAATATGGCGAGCTAAATTGTAAAATTGTCTTAGATCTCACTGAAACTCACATTTCAAAGGTGTTTAGGATCGCGGATTATAAATCTGTAGTTAATAATTCAAAATGACGAATCCAATATGGCGGCCAAAAATGTGATATTTTCTCGGATTTCAGTGAAACTCACTTTCCACGAGTTTTCGAATTGACTGATTATAAATCAGTTAAAAACTTCTGCCAAAACATAAAATATACAAGGTCCGCCACTTAAATCCAGACAAATTTGAATTTGACAATCCCGCTATATTAGAATGCAGCAGTAGGTGCCAGATGGCGTAAAGGTAGGCCAGAAGGTAAGACATTAATACCTCGAAATGGCCTGAGTCGTTCAAGTCGACATCGGAATGTAACCGAAGAGCGGCGGTTATTGAAAGTGTCCGCGCCGGAAGGTCGCCAAGCTAAATAATCAAGTTCTTCGGATACCCCAGGTCGACGGTGTATGACATTGTCCAGAGGTACGCGGCCTCGGAGGTAGCCAGGATCAAGTTTCCGGCCAGTGTCCTAAGCGTCGTCTCGAATGAGGGCGATGTCATGCCACCGCATTTCTTCAAGAAGGGAGAAATGGTCATGAAGGAGGTTTATGTGGAGATCCTGAGGACTACAGTGAAGCCTTGGATGGAGGAGTACAGTGAAGCCTTAGATGGAGGACGTGGCTGCAGGAAGGTCGTATATTTTCCAACAAGACGGCGCATCTGCTCATACGAGTCACTTAGTGCAGAACTGGTTCTCGGACAATGTTGAGATGTTTTGGTCGAAGAATTTCTGGCCTCTAAATAGTCTCGACTTATACCTTCTCGACTACTACGTGTGGGGCATAGTCGAGAGGGTTACTAATAAAGCCAGACACTCCAACGTGGCCTCCCTCCAGGCCACTATTGAAGCGGCATTCACGAAAATGGACTGGGCGCAATTGCAAACGGCGTGCTAGCACTTTTGGAATAGGATCGAGGCGGTGATCGAGGCGCAGGATGGTTAAATTGAGTGAAAAAACTTAGAAAAAATCCCTTAACTATAAAATAGTCTCTTTGTATTTTTATATATTTTTTGTAATAAACGGCTTTTTCGAGAAAAAATTTTCATGTCCGGATTTAAATGGCGGACCCTGTAGATCAAAACATGAACTTTGAAATTGTATGTGGCACAACCCGAAGTTCGAAAT